TGGTTACATGTGCATTTATTTCATTTTTTTTATTTTCAAGAAATTTTAGACTTCCTCCCAGCATTGCAAACATCTCCCACACAAACACTGTTTTCCTCACATTTAGTTTTCTTGGTATCTGGTCAGCCTGATCATGACTGCTGTGAGAGCTTCATATGTTCAATGAAAAGGCAAATGGATAAAAATGTATCAGACAAAAAGCCGAAACATTTTTTCACTATTACTGAATGAGCAAGTCAAGTATGTACGTACAAATCATAGTCCATGACGGAGATGTGCAGGCTGACGTGGTCCATACTGTCCGGTGGGATGTCAAAGATGATGGCCTCGTTGTAGGTGGGATTCAGGGTGTTCTTTTTAATGCTCGTCTTCTTCTTTTTCAAACGTCTCCCATCACAGATGAGCGACACTTTCACGTAGGGATCTGATAGGTGAGAGGAAAACAGGATAAACAAGGGCAGAAAATGTGACTTTATAGTTGAATATCATTACGTTTGGACAACTTCCAAGTTGTACGTCTCTTTCAGGAGCAGCCAGAGCAGCAATTATCCCCGAAAGCCTCTGGCAAATTTTAAAAACAACAAAGCTTCTGTGGTTACTTTGACTGCCAAAACATCTTCAAAGAAGTCCAATGAATACAGTGTTAATAGTCTTAACATGAAAGCAACGCTTGGGGAACCAGGAATCAGTAATGTGCATAAAGGTAGATGAGTGAATGTCTTATCTAACCAAAGACAAGAAGAGGCCATAGAAAACTGCTAAAAAGCATGACTGAGAGAGTCTCCTGAATGCTGATTTCAATTTTCATCTGTTAGTGATAAATCACTTTGCATGAGTTATTATGCTACACTAATCAGACGTAAGCCACCTTTAAAAAAAGCCCGAGCTTACAGCCCGATATGCTTAAAGGCACGGTTCAGTAAATCGAGATAATGGCAGTCAGCTAAATCCACGAAAACTCCAAGGATTAAAATTGCGAATAACATAAAAAAAATTGAAATGTCATTTAAAACTGGAAGAAAATTACCACTTTCACTCTGAATTACACCTAAAGCCTGGCATTTAACGTGCAATAAATGTCACGTTTCATAAGTGGCATCGGTATCGTAGGGAACATGTTTAATAGAAAAGTGGAACAGCGGGACATTAAAATAAACACACCGCCTGAAACTATTTGCTGACATTGTCTTAATATTGCAAGTGCTGCTTATTAATATTTGCTGATATAAACAGAACGCAGCATTAGGGAGAGAGCTTTCCTTTGTTTATTTAATTTGACATGCTCACAATTGGATTCTCAAAGGAGCACCATTCATTTTGAGTCAGTGCAGCTGAAAGTGCAGGCACAACACAACATACCTGAGTATCCAGTGATGTCCATGGCCTTTAGGTTCCTGCACTTGATGACAGTAAGTGTGAGTCTGCCTGCAGTGGGCAGGTAGCATAGTGAAAACATGATCTCTCCAAGGTCGACACTTTCCTGCGGGAAAACAAACACGAGCACAGATGAAAAAAAAAAAGAATCTCTTTTAGTTTCACATTGACATTCAGCCTGGTGCTTCGATTTAGGGAGAAGTGATGTACAATAAGTGTATTGTCTCTTACTGAAGGTTTGTTTCTGGGATCAATGCTTATATTTTGTTTAAAGTCGGCTCTTTGTAACCACTACAGCACTTACTGCATAATGCACTATTGTGTTATCTGTTCTGAAGATTCTGAAGATATCTGATGCCCCGATTAGTCTCACAGCTGAGACTAGCGATCTATTTAGAGCACAGATTACACATGAAGATGCATTAAAGAGTCAATTTGATGCAAAATAATGCAACATTTCCCCTCATTGGTACCAAAACACAGCTGCATTGTGCTCCTGTTCTTAGATCTCTGCACCATCCATTTCAGGTTTAATGCAGCATATACTTTTATCATAAAGTACACTGCAGTTTGGAGGGTTGCCTGCATTTTCTTTAGAGTTCCTCTGTCTTTAAGATGAGATTTCTTTGTTAGACTGAGGTAGCAGAGAGATGTGAGGATATGAAACTGCAGTTGGATTTGAAACAAGGACAGCACTGCCCAAAAGGGAACTGTAAGCACTAGCAAGGAACCTTAAACATTAATTTGCATGACGGAAGAAGCTAATAATTTCTAGACAGATACATAATACTATACATTTCTTAATTGATTGTTACATTATAAAAGAGCTTACTTAGACTCTGCAGCCACCTTGAAGTCTAATTGCAGTCCGTGTCAATGTTTAATCGCTTGCCATGGTTCTATATTCCTCTGCATACATTTTACACTACTCAAGTAGTTATTCGAGGCCAAAAAGGTCCACCCTGCATTAAGTTTAAGGCCAGACATCTCTAAAGGAGATGTTAGTGGAACTTCAAAAAGCCTTTGATTAGTTTCTGACTTTGCATTTGCAAACGATTATGAGAAAAACAGTTATGAATTATTAAGTGAATGGAAACCCAGAAAGCAGAAAACATGTCGTCTGTATTTTGCACGACTTGTTCATCATTTTGAAATGTTTACATCTGTACAATTATAGAAAAATCCAGTACACATTTACTGTATCTGACATGTGCAAAGAGATTCTTGGCTCTTTTATTTTTGGTGTAAAGAGTGGGACTCCACCCAACATTGAGGCAATGCCACAGGTTCACAAGGAGACAAATTAATTTGAGAGTCAAGTGCATTTTTCTATAAAATTAGTTAAACAGATTAGATTTGACCCGTTTTCTGTTCATCTGTAGATGTAGATCTCATTTCCAGTGTTTTATTATGTGCACCAGAAGGTGCTAATGTTTCAGAATTATATTACTCTAATGTTTGGTATGACCTTACCAGCTGGTAGTTGGATTCATCTGTGTCCAATCAAAGTCTAAGTTATTAACAATGTCACCCGTAGAGTGAGCCACATATGGGGTGACTAATGGTGCATGGCTCATTTTACACTGAGGAAAGCACAACACAGACTGAAATATTTGCACTTTTTGCAAATGTTTTTTTTTGTTTGCTTCAATGGACCTGAAATATATCGAAAAAAAAATATTTAAAATCCAGACTGGTGTTTGAACTCCTTTCTTGTTCTCTTTGTCAGTCTTCTCTTTGTGCACCACAACATTTCATCAGTTTCAGCTAAGACTTATGGAATTATAACTAGTTACCTCCACCAAGGAAGTTGTTTATTATAGTCTGTGGTAGATTCTGCCTGTAACCACAATAACTAAAAAGTTTTAAATGATTTCTAATAAAACTTTGAAGGGGGGTAGAGTCGATTAAAATTTGGCTTACATCCACCAAGGTCATCAAGGTGAACATATCGACTTATTGGTCAAAAAACTGACAAAAAGCCTTATAACACTGAAATATAAGTCTTACAAGTGTGGTGTGTTTTAATATTAATACAATATATAGAAAGTACCATATCACATTTGACCACTGACCTCTTCTTAAAGTTCAACAGATTGATCTAAAGGTCAAAGTGATAATTATATTTTAATTATAAAGCATAATTTATAATTAAAGCATAATTATGCTTTAATTGAGGCATATATGCCTATATATGCAAATATAGGCATATAGGAATATATGCCGTTGTTTGTATTGACGACATATAGGCATAGAGGATGATATATAACATTACCTTGGACCTTTGACCTCTTCCTAAATGTCAAATACGATTTCCTAAAAAAATCTCCTTCATCTTTGAAACTATTACTCACTTTTACATTTTGCATGTGCCTTTCTTTCAAGCTGACCCAAAAATTTGTTGTATTTTTAAATAAAGTTATGGTGGGGCGTGGTCTGCAGCGTGGCTGCAAGGGAGGCGGACGCACCTGGACATGGAAACTTGGTCGGGTCTGCCGTGGATTTATTACAGTGGTGCCAAAACCCAGGATTGGGCACGACAGACCCGACAAAGTTTCCATGCTTTTCAGCATACTTCTTTTATTTATGGTTGCTGTTACAAACACGGCTGCAGCTTTTCAGCTCGCAACCAAACACACACATGAACAACAACACAAACTCAGGACCCAATATAGACTTTAAAGCCGGCGAGGTGTGATTGCGGATGCCGTCCAGGAGTGTCCGCCTCCCTCGCAGCCACGCCTCAGACCACGCCCCATCACAAAAGTATTGTTAGAAGCTGCCTATTTAATACATGTGGTCACAGGCTGAATATGTTGCAAAGAGTCCCAAAATATGACAACAAGATAAACAGCTAAATGAAGTTACAGACACATGCGACCATATTTGGAGGAGCATGCACAGACGATCTCATTCTTGCACTGATGTAGGAAGTAGCAACGTGTCATGCATCTGTATGTTTTTAATGAATGTATAGTTTATGTTTTGGATCATAGTTGAGACCTGATCACCATCATTCCCCTCCATAGACATCCATCATCAGAGTTGTTGTTGTCTGGTATCAACGCCAACAGAAGACGAGTATTTACTTTGCAATGATGCCAAAGAGAATTTAATCTTTCACCGCTGTCAGAATTTAGATGTTTCCAGATCATTGCCAATGGCAATAAATTAAAACAGAGTACATCCAATTCACATATTAGGGCTCCAATGAAATGTAACCCAATTACACACGCAATCAAAGTGTGAATCAGTCTTAAAAACAGGTTTGTACCAATAAGAGCTCTCATAGTCGAAAACTTTCTAAGCACAGCTGACAGTCCTGCGTTGAGTCCCTGCTGAGCTAATAGTCTCAAGAAGAATGAGTGTCCTGTTATCTGTCCAATGTGAGTTATTAGCCAAAAGAGTATTAAGGTTACACAGACCCCTAATCACCCTGAATGAGCTCAGTGAGAACTGCACTGATTGGCAAATCCCAACACGTCTGTCTGAGCGCTGCAGTCTTAACGTCTCCTCAGACATACAGCTGAGATTTGGCTTTCTGCGCTGCCGATGTGAGGGATTTTGTTTGAAGGGTGTGAAGGTTGAGCCATAATGTGAGAACACAGCAGAAATGTCAGACGTTGTAAAAGCATAAAGTGACACTTTGATTGTTCTTGTAGAAATGCAGGCTGTTTTGGTGCCAGTCAGTAACATCTGCACTGCATTAATCATTTCTCAGGCGTGTTTTGGCACTTTAAGTCCAAGTGTCTCTTTAGTGCACATTAACTTCTCTAAAGAACAATTGGATGGATAGCCTTAAAGTTTTTTTCATGCGATCAATCAAAAAACTGTTTAGATGTTTTGCTCAAAGCGAAAAGCCTCATGATGGCCGGATGAAAAGAAGGGAAATCACCACTGATTTGAAGGCCTAGAATGATCCCAGTGATTACTGAACTTTCCATTTTAGGTCAGTGCTTTGGTCTATGAGACTGCACTCTGAGACTTGGCGCTAATTGGCAAATGATAAGATGTTAAACTAGAGCATTCGGTTAAAGTTGTTTTGACACGTGTAATGGAGAACTCAACTTTTATAGATCACCCAGATGAGCATATCAGAAACCAAATATCCACTTCAGTCAGACTCAACACGCCAGCTCCCTGGTATAAAAATATCAGACTGAGCTTCTAGGTACAGAACTGTTAAAAGATATTGACTGTTTTCTTATTTATTTGCACATTTGTGACACTTAAATGCTTCAGATTATCAAATACTGCTAGCAGATCTATTGAATCAAGTAATGACTTGAATAGAATCTGTCTGACAAAGTGATGTAGTCTTAAAGATCTCAAAAAGCTACACATCATCCAAAGAAGCAGCTTAGAAACAGAGTAACTGACATCTATCAGTCAGGAAAGACTTATAAGGCTACTTCTAAGGCTGTGGGACACCAGCAAGCCACGGTGAGAACTATTAACCACAAACTGGGAAAATGCAATGCGAATTGTCTGAAGAATTCACAACAAGTCAGGGTGCATACCTGTGTTCATCATGCTCAGCCTCCTTCAGCTCCACCTCCAGATTAAACCAAATGAATTTTTTTAGCAATGCAAACATGTCTGACACCAGTGTTGGGGAGCAACGGAATACATGTCCCGGTGTTATGTATTTAAAATGCAAAAACTGTATTCTGTTACAGTTACCACTTAAATAGGTGATAACTAGAATACAGTTACTTTGTTGAAATAAATGGGTTACATGGCAGTCTTTTCTCGTTTCATATGTTAGGCAATCCCCTCTCTAATTTTGGTAATTCACACTTTGCCAGAAACCCAAACAAAAAATAAGAGGCTCTAATCTAAGCGTCCTGTTAATGTTGGTGGCGTCAGTTATACAATGGACCTGGAGCCAGTACAGCAGAGCCAGCAGTGCACAGGCAGGAATGCGTTTCCGACACCACTTCACATTTAAAGAAGAAAGGGATGCATGCTCTGTTTACCAGCAACCAAGCTGCTCTCAGCAAAAGACCACCTCAGACCTAAAGAAACATCTGGAAGTAAGTTCTTTAAAAAAAAAAAACTAACATTAGCCAACTGCAACTACCTTGTTTTAGTTGTGATAGCCAATTTGATTATGTTCCACTTCAGTATCTTCAATATACTATTGCTGTGTGGTTTATTACTATTAATGAAGGCTGCATTACAACCTGCTAGCTGCAAATAATCATGTGCAGTTCAGAAAGCTGACAGAAAGAACACATATTACTGATACAGAAATAGTTTTCTATACAAGATCACTGCAAAAGTTGCGGCTTTCCTTATTTTCCCCCCTTCTTATTTTTCTTCTTTTTTTTTTAGGTTTGAAAAAATCTATCTGGTTTTGCTTTCAGAACTGCACGATTATTTGAAGCTAGCTGGTTGTTAATGCTATCCATCAAGTCTAACAGTCTGCAGTCTGTGAAGTAACCTCAGCTAACACCAGCTAACAATGTTAGCTCAGTAATAGTAATAGTAATAAATCACACAGCAATAGTACATTCATGTAGTTGTATAAAGCATGACAAGTAATCCAAAGTATTCAGAATATGTTACTCACATTGAGTAACGTAGCGGAATATGTTACAAACTACATTTTGGGTCATGTATTCTGTGACGTGTAGTGGAATACATTTTTAAAGTAACGTTTCCAATACTGTCTGACACAGACAATCTCCCAAGCCTGGACTTGATTCTGGTCACTGCAAAAGCAGCTTTGACGATAATTACTATGCATCTTCACTCTTGATGCTCTGCTGAACAGCAGGACCTGACCCTATATTTTACCGAAATCCAAAATGGACTACAAGTTGGACCCACTTTTTTGCCTTCAGAACTGCCTTAATTCTCCATGGCATAGATGTGTGTTCTTCAGCCTACCTTGGTTTTAACAAGTGGTTATTTAAGTTACTCTTGCCTTCCTATAAGCTCAACACAGTCTAGCTATTCTCATGTGACCTCTTGCATCAGAGAACTGCTGCTCAATAGATATTTTCTCTTTCTCAAACTACTGTCTGTAGACCCCGTGTGGGAAAATTCCAGTAGATCAGCAATCAATCACACCACATTCAAATCCATAAAATTATCTTTCTTTTCCATTCTGAAGTTTCATTTAAAGTTCCACCAGGTGAACTTCAATATGTCTACATGCCTAAATGTCTAAGTTGCCAGTGAGTGTAGTCTTGTGCTTTTACTTGCTGTCTTGTTGTTCTCTCATTTCTCCTCTTTTCTCTCTTTCACCTCAACCACCAAAAGGTCAGCTCTTAGTGGTTGAGGCATGTTGCTGCCTCTCTCTGAGCCTATTTCAGGGCTTTCCCTGTTAAAAGTGAGGACTTCCTTCTTACCTTTGCCATTTGCTAGCTCACAGGGGATTCTCGGATCAATGGAGTCCCTCATGTAATATTGTACAGTCATTACTTTGCTATATAAAGCACAGTGTTGTGGTAATATAAAAATAAAACTGAATTGAGGCTAAATAATTTAAACAACTTTCTTGTCATATTCTACCATAACGATGTTTTATTAGAACGAATTTGGCTTTCAGTCCCAGTCAGAGCTAATAAATAATGCTACTTATCAGCCCTTTAAAGACCTTCCCAGAATAGCTACACTGAACACACATGAGAAATAGTCTGAAGTGACTAAGTATCTGGTCTCCTCTGGATTCTTTATAAAAGTCACGCTTGTGGGTTGATGTTATTGATGACTATCACTCATTGATCTGTGAAGAGAGAAGAGCTGCTGGTTATTTTTTGTTGCTGTGCCTCACTTTGCTCAATACTGCTGTCTTTTCCGCTCATTAAGCTGCAGAGTGTTGTACACAGTCTCACATCGAACACTACATCATACTGTATTTGTTTTCTGTTTTAACTAAACCCTCGCACCATCTGTGCCTTCTTTATGTTGCCAATCTGGAATTTAATACGAGCAAGGGATTTTGTCGTAAAATCATTTGGTGGTTCAATAAAGTTTGTTTGCCAAGGAGAAGGCTCCTTGCTTTTCTGCCCACTAAGCAATAATGTTGAGATTACTGAACAACCCCTGAAGAAGTCCAACCAGAGTGGGGGTGGGGCTTATAAGAGATGTGAGGGCTCAGACGAGGTGATAAAATGATTAAGGGTCCGAGGCACCTAAGACAAACAATTTGTTCCTAAAAATGGCCCCTGGACGTTGTCAACAAGTAACAAAGTCAATAGAAAAATGCCTGCATGAGTGTGCAGTGAGTCAAAAATATTCTTTTATGGCTTTACATAAATTTTTATTCTTCAATTTGAAGCTCAAGGATCTGCTGGGGAATAATGATTTCTTGCTGCTAATTTATGTATTAGCCCTAAATGTAGTGAGGTTTTAAGCATTCTGGGCCATATTTGCCAGCGATGGTGGAGCATGACCACAAATACAGAGAGCTTCTCAAGGAAATCAGATCGTTTGTTTTGATGGAGCACTGAGGTGAAATACGAGCATCCAGAAGCCGGTAGTGCGCTTCATTTTAAATTCTATCATTTTTCAATTTTACATTTGCATCTAGATTGAACTGTGATGAAGATTTAAAATTAAAAAAAAGATTTGATTTAGTCACAGTTGTATTATATTTTACTTTATAAATGCCACAGTGCCAGTAATTTGAACTAAGGGAGATATATATGTAAATATTACTAAGAAGAATCCACTAGATCAGGGTTGTCCAACTCCAGGTCTCTAGAGCCGGTGTCCTGCAGGTTTTAGATGTCACCCTGGGTCAACACACCTGAATCAAATGATTAGTTCATTACCAGGCCTCTGGAGAACTTCAAGACATGTTGAGGAGGAAATTTAGCCATTTAAATCATCTGTGTTGGGTCAAGGACACATCTAAAACTTGCAGGACACCGGCCCTTGAGGCCTGGAGTTGGACACCCCTGCACTAGATAGACTGTGCCCTCATTCACTATGTCCTACATTGTCATCATGATTTTCATGTCCATGTCCAAATGGATACTCAGGTAGGCTGTAGCACTTAAATAATCCTCAGTTGGTGCTAAGCAGCCCAAAATATTGCTCACACCACTGCACCACCAGTTGCCTGAATTCTTTGTGAAACACTCAGCCTGTCTGGCACCAACAACCACATTACAAACTCATCTTTCTTCCAAATTTTAATGCTCATTTTTAATTTCAACAGGTCATCTTCCTTTGTCTACATTCCTAAATGTATTAATTTGCTGACTTGTTACTGGCTGATTAGATATTTGCATTGATAAGCAAGTGAGCAAGTTTATCAAATGAAGTGGGCAGTGAATGTTTAAATAAACTAAAGGATGTGTATCTCTCTGTCAGACTCTTTAATATCACATCACTTTCATTTACTTGTTACTCATTTGACTTAGACTCTAGTAGAAAAGTTGAAAAAGTTAATAGACTCTTACACTGGTGGCATACTGGATGTCCATCCATATGTTTGTCTCCCTGGAGAGGTCTGACGTCTCAAACAAGTTTTCCATCACCACCTCACCAATCATATCATGCCGTGAAAATCGATCAAAGTCAAAAACACTCATATGGAGCTTTCTAGCGCCCAGCTCATCATAAGGCACAGGAAACTGGAAGCTCTCACTGAATGTGGGGTTGAGTGTCTTCCGGTGGACGCGAGTCTGGAACTTCTTGCGGTCGGGCAGCAGGTAGACCTTCACATAAGGGTCAGATGTGCCACATAAGTCCTTGGCTGGCAGGTCTACTGCCTTGAGGATGTTGACAAGGAGAGACTCATTTTCATAGTCATACTTGAGGGAGAAGTTAATCTTGCCACAGTTTTTGCTGCTGTCGTTGGATGAGTCCTCTGATTCTGGGACCTTCTGTTGGTAGAGCTCTGGCTGGATACGACCGATGCTAGTGGGCTTTTCATCCTTGTCCACCATGTAGTCATTTCCTAGGTCTAGACTGCCTACCTGCATCTGCCTGGGCAGGTGTCTTTTGAATGAGTTGTGCCTACAAGGACAGAAAGGAGAAGAATAAAACAAGTGGGAAGGAATAGCTGTAGTTTGAGCTGTGGTGAAACGATAACATATTCTCATTTTCAACTAGTCACAGACTGACATTTTGTGAGGAAAGTCTTCCTGTAATTTAATACAAAAATAACCAGTTTAACATTTCACAATGTAATGAAAAATGGCAGCCTGCAAAAATCCAGTAAAGGAAGATGGGACTGCGGATAGTAAAGTGACAACACCTCCAACCAGAAGACAAAAATAACAGTAATTAGTCATTTGCAGGACTGCTTTTTGACAATTGATATTACTTTTGTTTTTGACATTACTATCTCTTTTTTTTTTTGTTTAGTTAGGTTTAGATATTAAAACTATGAAATCAGGTTTAGAATATTAAATATTTTACACTAAAAATATTTTAGTTTAAAATTTTGCCTTCTCTAGGACAAGCACATATTAAAAGGTCTTTCACGTGAATATGGTTTCTCTGACATTTCCTTGGTTTTCTTAATTTCAAAGGATACAGGCTCGCCTTGTCGTGGCATTTATTTCCTTTCTAAAGTGAACACTATCTGACTAACATGCAGGTTTAAAAAATGACAAGACTCAGTGCTTTTTAATGTGATGTCTATGAGTGTTCGGCATCCGACTCTGAACTAAACTAGTGTTGGCACAATACAACCAAATGTATCACGTTATGTCTTCTGCTATAGTGGCAGTTGATCAATGTTCATTCTTGCCTTAAAAAACAGTAAGTAGGCCTGTATTTCTGTTGTATGGTGCTATCCCTATCCCTGACACCTGTTGGCAAAATTTGAACAGGAAGTGTAAAAAGTTAAAAGTCAAAGTTAAATGTACTGTGACAGCTCAGTGAGCCCCAGTGGTGTGAACATAAATTCTTATCCTTTAAAAATGATCCTGTGTGTCTTTTTATTGGTTTCTTTGTCTCCCAACCCCTCCTAAACCATCAGGAGTTGTCATTAAGTTGACCTGAAAGCTACATGAACACTAGAAGAAATTCACTTGTCAAGCATCAGTTTGACAGCTGCTCGTTCCAGTTGCCTAGGTAACCCTCTAATGTATTTAGTAACAGGCCACATGTCAATCACTGGTATCCTATGTTGTCGCTGGTGGTCGTTTCAATTGTTTACCTGGAAGATGATCAAAGTTTATCCCGGGTTTTACCTACTTTGCCCATAGTAACCCGAGGGTTCTTATCTACATCAGCTATATTGATGTCATTACGTTCCCTAGTAATCTCCCATCAACTGGCAAAAGTTACTTGGTTTTAGCATTTATGTACCTATAACATCTTATAATTTTAATTTCATGACAATAAAATTTAATTTATATCCATATCCATGAAAGCAAAATTATACATGCCTAGCAACCACCTAGCAATGAGGTAAACTGACCCTTTAAAAAAAAAAAGCCTTTCTCAATGTGAGTGATTGTCTTTTTGCGTGAATAGGCCGTACAATACTATACCATGGCCATGTATTAGTATGCATAATAGCTATAATAAATCATTGATGTTAACTAAGTGGTAACGTGGACTTGTGCTTGTAAAGCTGCAAGTAATCTCTTCAAACTGTGTTATATTTATACTTCTGAAGAAAGTCTTATAGACGGTAATTTTAAGCTGGAGAGAGGTGCCTCTGAGGCAGAGTTCAGTATTCTTCAATGTTATTTATAATTTACTGTGGAGGTATTAAATTACTTAGAAAATGTTAATCCTTATATGTAGCAGTAACTTCCCCCTGGTTTACACACTTTATTCCACGTTAGATAACACCATGTCTTGAATTCAGCTTACACATAATCCTCCACATATGCGCACATATTATAAATAACCACATGAGACAGTCTCATGTGTCATCAGATTTGCATGCACATGCATGTATGTGACTGACCGAGTGGAGGAAGCTGGTTCAGTTGTTTGCCTTTGCATGCGTTGTGTGCGGCGCAGGAAATGCTCCCTCATGGAGAGTTGCACATCAGTGGGGATGTCAGGAGAGGTATGGCTTATCTTCACCGCAGCCTCCAGGAAACCAATCGAGCCCATGGGGTCCTTCACCTTCTCTGTTGCCATGGTGACTGGCGTCTGCTGGGGGCTGGGTAACGGGAGTGGCGGCTGAAGCGGGCAGTGCTGTGGGCCACGGGCCGGGCTGAGGGATGGACTGAGAAAGGGGGCCTTAGTCCGCCAAGGCACCCAGCACAGCTTCCAGGAGACAAATGTAAGTAGTCCCAGGAATGCCAAGCCACAGACCACAAACACACCGAGCAGGAGGCCAAAAGTAGCGTCTGGTAATGAGCCACGGGGGCCAGAAACAGAGGATCATACAATATGGATAAACAGATGGTGATCACAAGGGTGAGAGGGGACAGAGGACACAGAGAAAGAGAAAGAGTCGGTTAGGACATGATTTTTCAAAAGGCCTGGTGCTAAATCTGATTTTAATGTAAGACTAAGGACAGTAAGCAGGGACTACAAGATTCATAAATATTAAAGTAACCTCCATTTGTCTTCCTTTGGGTCAACAGATAAGAGAAGCATGGTAGTGTAAACGGAATTTAAATGTGTGCATGTGTGTAGTGTGAATTCATACAGGGATAATTTTCTATGACATTACACTCACCCTAGTGGTAAAAGTAATTATAGCCTGACAGATAATAGTAAAAAAAAACCAAAACAAACAATGTAAAGTGTTTACATTTGTAAAAAGGCTCATGAAAAAGGACCACAGTGCCAGGAGCCTTCCACTGGGATTCTCATCATGAAGCAGATAAAGCAGCCGGGCACAGTCAAACTCATTTATTTTATGGTATGAAAATGCTTTCCGGGGAACAAGCAGCATACAAAAAGCTGGAGATGTACCAAGAATGCTGACAAGCACTCTGCAAGGATTCACAGGGACCATAGGGGGGAAAAAATTACTAAACACAGGAAACATACAGGCTGCATCTCTCAAATTTCCCTTTGGGGCATCTTTCTTATAGTAATTATATCTCACTATATGACGCTTGGAGTGTCTTCCACGTGCTTCGACAGGGATTGCTTTCAATTCTCCAATCTTTGCCTGAGTGTTCTTTTCCATGCACTGTGATTGCTCAGATTTAGCCGCAATAACTCGTGCCATGGAGCATCTCATGGCCTCTCAGAGGATCCTCTAACCCCCCTCTTCTCTCGACATAACACCACAGAGATCAGCGGCAATACGCACTCGGTTTACTATTTGATATTTACCCAGCTCAACCTTTCCTATAAGAAACCTGAGGCGTTTGAAGCTCTGTTTACTCAGGGTTTTAAGTTTAGAGACCATATTTAATATGCAAATAGTAATCAGGCAGCTAATGTGCTATATTTAATAGCAGTCAGCAGTCTGTATTTTTATGCTGTTTTGAATAATTTTAGCTTATAGGTTTATTTAAATGATTTAAAAACAATTTTGTGTCAGTGTCCATTTATCATTTCCCCTGCATCGCTGTCTGGTGCTTTTACTCCATGTCCTTGTCTTTTTCCTCCTTAGAGATGGTTGGCCCTGCCTTTACTGGTTCCTTGTTACCTTATCAGTTCCTCCTGTGTATTTAAAATCTTGTCTTTACCTCTTTCAGTTTCTACTCTTCCCACTTATCTGTTCTCCTTCCTTTTAACTCTCTGCTGACTCCCACTGAATACCTTCTTGTATCTTTGAGTTGTTCTCTAAAATGTGTCTGTTTAGTTCTGGTTTTCATTATACAATGATATCACATATTGGTTTGTGAAGTCCCATTTTGGAGCCTTGAGCTGCTGGCCATGAGAAAGAATGCAGATTTAAGACACTTTACACATTATCTTCACTTTTCAGACTTCGAGGCCAGTTCAGTATTTATGTACACAGTATATACATTTTATGGTTCACCCCTATGTGGGTTTAATTTCTGCATACACTCACCTTACCTGCTGATCTTTATAAGCCTTGTATAAAAATACAAGTATTATTTATTTATGTCTGTGAAGGTTCTCAGTCATCCAGGTCATCGTAGTCAAAGGAGCTTGCAAAGAAAAGCATCTGGACTTCTTTAAGTTACTTGAAGACGTTTCACCTCTCATCCAAGAAGCTTCTTCAGTTCTAAGGTCAAAAGGTGGAGAGTCCCAGATATAAACCTAGTGGGAGTATCCCCCCACAGAGGGACAAAAGGACCCCCTGATGATCCTCTAATC